AAAAATATCTTAATCTCGAATCATCAAAGTATGAGGTGCTTTCAATTTACAAGACAAAGGGAAACTATGAAATTCTTACCTCATTTTCCACAATGACATGCTTCCTTGTAGCTTTTTCCTGGGAAGAAACCGTTTCTTCCGAATAATCATCGTCGTCTAACTTGGCAGATCTCGAATCCTTCACCTATTAAGTGGACAAGAACATGTAGAGATGCCATAAAGCGGTGCACCAGAAGAATAAAGACGACAGATTTTTAGTAAATGAATAGGTAGCAAAGAAATTTTCGTGGTACCTCACAGGTTGATGATTTATGAACATTTCTATCCATATTAGTATCTGGAGATTTCACGATAACACCCTTTCGGTCTGCTGATTCATCCCCATCGGTGCTCTTTGCTCTCAACTTCATAACCAAATGCACTGATCGTTTTTCCTTGTCATCGGAAGTATCTTCTGAAACAACACATCCAGGATCGAGGGTTGTTTTATCCTTCTCGGATTCAACAACTTTAGATTTCCTTGACCTTGCCGGAGCCTTTTCTTCCATCGTTTTCATGGTCTTGTTTACCACTTCGTCTTCAGATCGTATACATTTCTCTTCAGCATGTGTGGAAGACTCCTTTTCTACCTCTGTTGACAAAGAAGCCGTTTCGAGTCTTGGGCTTACAGAGGCAAATTTAGGTACTTTTTTCTTCCTAGACTTGCCAACTTTAGATTTCCTCGAACTCGCCTGAGCTTTTTTTTCTGTCTTTTTCTTGTTCTCGTTCACCACTTCGTCTTCCGATTGTATATGTTTCTCTTCAGCATGTGCAGAGGACTCCTCGTCTACCTTTGTCAACAAAGAAGCCTTTTCACCTTGGCTTACGGAAGAAAATTTAGTTCCTTTATCCTTCCGAGCCTTACCAACTTTAGATTTCCTCGAACTCGCCTGAGCTTTTTCTTCCTTTTTCATGTTCTCATTAACCGCTTCGTTTTCAGATCGTGTACATTTCTCTTCAGCATGTGAAGACTCTTTTTCTACCTCTGTTGACAAAGAAACCTTTCTTACTTTTCGTCTTACAGGAGAAAAATTAGTTTCTTCGACATTAGACTTTCTGCGATTGGATAGCCTGAACTTTTCCCGTCCTTTTCCAATCCAATAATGATCATAGCCTTCATCTGGATTCATTAAGGAGTTCGGTTTCCTGCCTCGTTTCTTTGGTACAGAGTCTAAACTGTCAGGTTTTTCAGCTTCTGTTGTTTTTGATTGCTTACTTTGTTTTCGTGATTTTCTCGAGGACGCCTTGATTATGTTGTCATTCTTGGCTGCATCTATACCATTGGATAACAATGATTCTGAAGCAGCATCAGTTTGAGGATTCTCTTCAATACTTGCATTTGGTGTATGCCTCTCTGTCGCCTATTTGGCGTGAATATATATTAGTTTTATGATATTTCACTCCGGAAGCGGCTAATGTAGATTATTTTTAGGGTGTGGGATCAGAAGAGATTGGATAACATATAGATACAAACACATACCGGTGTTGGCTCGTTTGAATTCATCGTCGTCTCTTTGCTCTTTCCATTTTCCTGAATCATTCAATAAAACATCATAAAAGCAGTTTCATAAAGGATCATCTCATCAAGACCTGACATGAAGTTTAGTTAGTTTCAAAGATAATACGATGACTGAAGAGGCATGGGGTTCGGCCCTATACATATATTTAGGTTAAGACATCGGGTTGCTTATGTGGCTCTTCTAACAAAATAACCGAGGCATTTATTCTTGGAGCTTGATGCCCATGAGCACAAGACTGTGTCGAGTAACTATATATTCTTAAGCAAACGTTGTAATGGCCGTGTTCTCCTCCCCAACTAATATGGGATCTCACAATCCACCCCCCTTCGGGGCCCAGCGTCCTCGCTAGCACTTGTTCCCTTCTCCAATCGATGTGTGACCCCCCAGTCCACCCCCTTCAAGGCCCAACGTCCTTGCTGGCACACCACCTCGTGTCCACACTCATTCAGGGTTCAACCTCTTTGCTGACACATCGCCAATTGTTTGGCTTTGATACCATTTGTAACAGCCCAAACCCACCGCTAGCAGATATTGACCTCTTTAGGCTTTCCCTTTCGGGTTTCCCCTTAAGGTTTTTAAAACGCATCTACTCGGGAGAGGTTTCCACACCCTTATAAAGAATGCTTTGTTCTCCTCTCCAACCGATGTGAGATCTCACACATATTAACCGTATGAGGCAATTCATCTATATATAACCGTTCTCAACAGTACCAATTCAAACATCTTTCAGTATTAGTCGGTAGAACTCACCAAATGATTCCCAGCATCAATGTTAACCGTTCCATTTAGGCATATAGAAACAACTATAGGAGCATAGTCATCCAACGAAGCACCGAGAGACTGAATTGCACCCATAAGATAAGGCTGGAGCTTAGTAGCACAGTTGGACATGACCTTTTCTCCCAATTTCCACGAAATAGAACCTGCTTCCTATAATAACAGGCGAACCGATTAATCGAGGATAATATAAAAGAAATAAAGTTAGGAATAAGAAACAAGGGAGATACCTGATTTTCCTTTCGGACACTAACTAAAATAGGCCTGAGAAGATCCGATGAGATTTCTTCACTCTCATCTAACACATTAGTCATAATTGCTTCCATGGCTGAAAAAACAGCAGGTGGATGGTTGGACCTTAGAATTTGGAGAAAATAAATCAAGATTAGATGAACAAAATAAAATTTAGAATATCAGAAACATAACATCAAGAAATCGAAGTTAAAATTGCACGAAAAGAAAGTTTTATGAACTACCATGAAACTAATTGGAGAAGAAATTAAGATACCTAATGATCTTTAGAAAACTCTGGATCATCTCGAGAATCAAACTGTCACACTCCAGATCCAGCATCACTAAGCACGAACGGACCTTTGCAACAGCGTCAAGAATGGATAAAGCCTTTGTATAACAACGACCCGACATATGTGACAACTTTCTAAAAGCTTCTAAAGTCAACTGAAAAGTAACCTGCACCAGTGGAAATCGAAGAGATAACTAAAAAATCCACCAGAACATGCATGTCGAGAATGAGCAGCTTCAAAGTTACCTTCATTTTCTCATCATCGTAAGGGGCATCTGGCGCTGTAATTCTTGTTATTTCGGTAATGCAGGATGTTACGGTGACCTTGACATCCTCGTCTGAGTGCTTCATAAGCTTATCGGAAACTAATGCTTTCATCAAGGGCAGGAGTGCATCACGCATAGATTTCGTTGGCGATTGCTCCACATTTGTTAATAGACACTCAGCTTTCTGAACAAAATTGGGACAGAAGTTACACATAATCAGACTATCTACCCCGAGGGGGAACGGAACGCATATCCTGAACGAAATCAACTCCTAGAGGAAAACTTTTGCAATGAACTCTAATTAAACGCTTCCCCTAACACCATTTCAGGTTTAGAACATGTTTTTAGTTGGCTGGATCCCAAAAATCATAATAAACTTACCCTTCATGTAAAAAGTAGCAAAGAATTTGGTGGCAGGCAGATGAACAGTGAGCAGTGTTCTATGTCAAGGTATACCGCATCTATCACGAAGGCCTAATGGGGCAATTACCTTGCAAGAATTCCCCCTATTACTCTACGAGTCTTACTAGAGTATTGACTCAATATTTTCTTGGTAAGCAAATGTAAATTGCAGAAAACCTTAAAATCTTCGAAAAGCGTAAGGGAAAGAGGCGTAATCTTTCGTACCCCCAATTCATATCGAGGCATGAAGAGATAAGAACAGGTGGTTGCTCGAGTGAAAACCATAAAATCTCGTTTGAAATTCATGTAAATTAACGAAAACCCAGAAAAATTATGCATAACAAGAGGCGAAATGAGCAGTGTAAAAGAGAAGAGAGTAGAATCGCATCCTTACATCGAGAGCTTTGAGAAGCGCATCAGTGGAAGGAGGAGGGTTTAGGAGCTCAGTCCCGACCTCCTTAAGCTGCTCCTCGAGCTCTTTCTCAGACGAGCTCATATCCAAAATTTCAATTCAGTCCTCGAAATGACTCATAGAAACCACAGCTACGTCTTCTTCAAAGGTGTTTCGAGCATGCAAATAGGGAGTTGAAGAATAATGGGTAGTTTCGGATTTGTCGCTTGGAATCAATTTTGGTTCATTCTTGGGGCTTCAAATCCGATAAAGTTCAATTCTTTTTCCCTCGTTTCATGTTCGTTCTCTTTTTCCCTTGGCGCCTTTTGGCTTCGTTTTTGGCGCTGATTACTTAGCACTGGTTCAATGCGAGTGTGACCACATTCAACTTATGAACTGAGTTATTGAGAATTTATTTTTTATTTTTTTTTATATAATTATTTCAACAGTCAAAATGTTCATTTATTGTCTTCTTGAGAATCAAATACTAATATTGCTTTTGAATTTGAAGCCTGTTCTTTACCAAAATTGCTCTGAATCCAAATTCATGTGTTCCCATTTAACCAAAATGTGTTTGTTTGTATTGTCCTCGAAAGCTTCATGCCTAAAATATGCATTGGCTTCATTCATATAATTAATATGATATGACATCATTTGTTTGTCATTTTGTCTCCTGAAAATATTACTTGGTACAAATTGGCATGATTGTTTATCTTAAACTTACTTATTATGTTTTTGTAAGTTAATCTTTGTTCTACGTCAGAAAATAATTATTTACCAACCATTTTTTTACCTGGAAAAAACAGTACAGCAAAATTATGGATAATAATTACAGTCACATTATTCACATATGCATTCATTTTCTGACAATCACCTTTAAGATCGACCTGACATAAGCTTCGAGATCATGGAGAGTTTCGTATGAAATATACAAACCCCAAATTAATCTTTTGACTATCAACAACATTCCATGCTGTAAATTAATCTTAGAAGGACTTTAAACAGCAAATAACAGATCATTTTCTTTAAGCAAGCTTCCAACGAGGATAATTGTCATTTTATAACTCCAATTTAAGTAAGAATTCAGCATAAAGAGATGATAAATACCAATTCCAGATTTTACTTGGCAAGGAGCCTCTTGATGAACAAATTGTTCCTGTTTGCCGGAATGATTATGAGCTCCACATCAATGGACTCGGAGGATAAAACCAGTCTTTCCAATTGATAAACAAAGAAGACATTATAGGGTGTTAAGAAACAAAACAGTGCGCCAAATCTAAACATAACTACCGATCAAAAACTCTCTAAGTGAGACCAACAACTGTAGTCTCGGCAGACGTCGTTGAGTTAATCAATTTGAACTCACATGCTTCTGGACAATGTGAAGTGCCTCATGATCCTCCCCAAAGTCCTGGGTTAACACATTCAAAATCCAAGTAAACAATCTTGTCTTATATGATAACGAGCGGAATATTCGCTCGAGAAGTGAATGAGCACACAGATGTACCTTAACTACCACACAAGAGCAACCAACAACTTTCCTTGCCTTTCCTTCAGAATCAATCTTGCATAGCTTCATAAGACAAAATATGAAAAAGAAAATTACTTAGGCTGAACTCATATGGGAAAGAATGCAAAACCCAAGTTATCAAGGTGGTGTTAGCAGGTCACTTTAGGTAAACGTGAAGCATAAAGATATATGGGTAAATCCTAATATAATCTAGAACATGTAAACGAGAAACTAAATATCGATAGGTAATAAAAGTTCGGTCTTGCAATGTTGATGGAATTAGTATAGCATAATTCATAATGGTGCAAGTGATAATGAAAACACGGAGAAGGTAAACTATTTTATCTAGATGGAAAGTTAAGAAATATGTCTAAACAAGATTAAACAACACTTACACCAGCCCACTCGCCAAGGGTTTTTGCACTAGGAACTGTCATCAAGTTGACGTTGTGCTCGGCACAAAGTGCTTTGACTAGTTTGATATAATCAGGCTGATTGCAGTCTTCTCCCAAGACACAGAGCTGAGCAGCATGCTTCTCAATAGCTTTAGCACTCTCGTGTAGGCCGCGAACAAGCCCACCATGAGCCAATGACTTTCTAAGAACAAGCTGCAAAGCAGTCTCAATGTCCATCGGCTCACCTAGCGCTGGGGCGGGAGCCTCAACCACAACGGCACCTTCATCACTGAAAAAGAAAACAATTTGAAAGGGTTTCAATATTCCTCTATGGCATACTGCTAAAACAAACTAAGGCAATTATAAACCCGTTGCAGCCAAATAATCGCTAACAAAAGAAGAAGCTCCAATAATAGTTCACTACTAGACAAGTAACATATGAGGAGACATTAATCCTAACGAACTAATACTACAGAGCAACGTATAAATTACTTATAGAAGTTCAAAGTTCCATATTTCGTACGACCCAAGACCAAGACGTATTAATAAGCATCTCAAGGCATCAAGATTTGCAGTTTAGTCGCCTTCACCAATCGAGATTCCATGAATAAACGTCTTTCTAAATCATGCCCTAGTATAGCAAGCGCTCAACTAGTTGATTGCAAGCAGCATATGTCACTTCTTATGAATCAAAGCATTTCCTATATCCAAGACATTGCAAACGAAGCAACTAGATATAACACAAAAATAAATGGCAATTGATAGGGAAAATAGCAATTGTTACAAACAAGTTTCTACTCACGCTGACATTTTTCTTCTCAATTAGAAGTTAGTTCTCCTTCCTGTAGCAAAGAAACTGTAAAACAAAACAAACAGACAAACCAATTAAAATGAAACCAAGAACCAACAATCTGAAAAGAAATCAAATACTTGTAGGGTAATCCACTAATCTATTCGTTCTAATGGGGGAAGGGGTCTTTCGGTTCTGATAGTCAAATATGGGCCGATCTGAGTATTTGTGGACAAAAGGGAAGAGATAACAATGGCCATGGGTGACAAGACCAACAATTGCTCGCCGGAGAGAGAGAGAGGATTACCAGAGATTGCGAGATGACGACGGCGGCGGTGGCACAATACTGAGAAGAGGAGGGAGTTTGAAGAGAAAATTAGGGGTTTATGGAAGTCCTCTGGTGTCATATAAATGGGCTCGTTTATTGGGCTTCGTAAATATAGAAAGAAGCTGGGCCGTCAGTATTGGGTTCAATATTTTGATTTGTTTTTACTTTGAGTTCTTTCAACCTAAAAAATCGGCCCATAAATCCTAAATTCTAAATCTTTTTGCAGTAAATCTAATATTCTTTTAATAAAAATATAGAAAAAAAATCCTAAATTAAAATTTAATTGATTATAAATAAAAAAAAATATGTATAAAATTTACCCTAAATATATATATATAAAAATAGTTCTAATTAAATAAATTGTAAATCCTAAATAAATAATTAAAAAGTTGCTTGATTTTGTTTAACAAATCTAATTTGTCAAATGTAGATTTCAAAGATACTTATCTTATAATTAAGTCGATCACAATGGGTTCCTTTTTTATCGAGCTCTAAACATTGATCAGTCTAAACCTAATTCAATAGTTAGTTCCGTAATAATTTCAAAATAAGTTGCATTCTTGGGGTTGTGGTATTTTAAATCTAAACAAAAGTAATTTATTCTAAAATTTTCATATCATTTCATACATTTTTTTGTTTCTGTAATAATTTCAAAATAAGTAAGTTTTGTCATCTAAAAAGTCAAGTATACCCCCAAAGTTCTATAACCCATGAATCTTTGTGCAAAACCTGAGCCATAAACCACTGGAATCAACTCATTAGCAGATGAACTTCCATGGCTGCAACAAGTTTCAATGGCTAGCCACCAAAATGCTTACAGGCGAGACAGAAAAGTGGCTAAAACACCTAATAATTGGGTATCAATTCGAGCGTGTGTGCTCTTGCTCTGCAGGGCTTCAGTAAATCACTTGGAATTCAAGCGCATTCAGTGATTCACAAGCCTTCTTCATATGCACCAATTATTGGTTCCTTTCATCCTTTTGAGCTTGATGTCTGGGACATGCAGCCTCTTTACAAGCAAGTGGCAGCTGGCCAATGGCCATCGCTGGAGAATTATCTCTCGGTGGCCTCACCAGTACTGCCATCAAGCAGGGGAGCAGCAAGGTTAGATGGCGACATGGTGCTGTCACCAAATAGAGACTCGTGGTTCGATCCAAAGCATTATTATAATGAACTGCATGAGCTACACTGTTTAGGTTTGTCTCTGAGGCTGTGACTGTAAGAAGATAAACAAAAGTTTACGGCTGTTTACATTATTATTAATTTTTTTTTTTTTTTTTTTGTAAGCACAATGTTAAACTTTTCTTTCTTGTCTTTTCTTCAAGATTTTAAACCGACATTGGATTTTCCTTCAAGGTTTTAAAGCGACTCTTATAAGGAATGTTTCATTCTCCTCTCCAACCAATGTGGGATCTCACAATCCACCCCAATTGGGGCCCAATGTCCTCGCTACCACATTGTTTGGTGTCTAGCTTGGATGCCATTTGTAACAACCTAAGTCCACGACAGATTTTGTCCTCTCTAGACTTTCCCTTCGGGTAAAAAATTGTGCAAAGTCTTGATAATAATAATGGTCAATAATTCAAATTTTGTTTCATGTTCGACATAGACGATAACACTAATACGCATGGGAAAAAAAACTGTGAAAGAATGAAAAGGGAAGACCCAACAGATCATCTCTACTGAAATCAAGCAAGTTTAATGTGGCATAAGATTGTCAACAAGCCATTTTCTTGATTTCGTACCTTTTATACTTCACAGTCGATTAATCCACTAGGAAAGTTTAGACCTAGAAGATATAAGTCACATAATAATGTATTCTCGGAGGGTAGACAAGAATAGAAGCTGGAATCTTGTTATGAAGACAATCATCCTCTTTAATTTTGTATAAAATACTGCATACATTGGATAGTCTAATACGAAAGGGTCAATATTACATACCAGAATTGGATATCGGTAGCGCCAACAGCAAACAACTATTTCTCATCTGAAAATACTGCAGAATCAATTTCAATTAATTTCAATGAATGCTTTTACGGTTTCCATCCACCTAATGAATTCGGTTTTATCCTTGTTCTTCACATATTTATGCAAGAAAACAGCTAGCTGATCGTCCACCCCCCTTGCTTCAAGATAGTCATAGAGTGAGTTTTGCAAGTCATCATCCAATTCCCTGTGCACGAAATTAATTCTCAGGAAGCTGGAAGAAACATCTATTTAATAATTGAGGCAAGGAGATATATTTAAATAAGAGCAATAAGCTGAAGATTGTCACCGACATCATATGCACGTAATTATTTGCTACTACTATTCATCATACTTAGAATCAGAGTACAAAAAATATTTAAGGGCGTTGGAAATCATACTTGAATTCTGGTCCAGCATAGGGTTGAGCTGGCATCTTTTCACCTCGGCGTGTCAAAAGCCTGTCAATCTCTAGATCATTTGGCCAAGCTGAACACATAATCTCCAAAACTTCACTGCTATCTCTTTTGTTTATATTGACAATAATGGTAATGTGAAGAAGCACATCTTCCCCTGGAGGTGTCCTAGCGTGATCAAACATGGTCACTTCAATCTTTATATTCTCATTCTCCCCGTACTCTCTTTCCAATCTGATCCACTGCTCGCCTGGCCTTTCATCAATTGTAAAGGCGCCAAATTTTGTAACAGGCTGAAAATGAGAAGAGATCTCAAAATCGAAACTGGAAAACAATCAAAACCAATTAAAGCTATTTAATGTAAACCAACAGCTTGAGTATTCTGTTTAATGTTTCAGTGGTGATTCAACGTAGTATCAGGACTTATAATGTTATTTTCTCTCCAATTAACACTAATATCTGCTTATGGGGCCTTGTACCAATTTCTAGCTGACAATTGAAGAGTATTTGAATGTAATATGCGATTAAATTTACCATAACCAATCCGCTAAGGTTTAATGGTGGTTTAGCCTTTGCGAATGAAGCATCGAAACAAGAATATCTGAATGCAAATTCCAATTCCAAATACCCACAGTTTACTTGCATTGTTAGTGGCTGAAAAATGAGATTGATCCCACATCACCTAACCAATTAAAAGTACAACACTCCTGCGGAGATGTTAGTAGTTCAAGGAAAGCATGGAGGACGAAATTATTCAATCGAAATTTTTTACTACAGAATAGCTGAACCTCGGAAGAACAGCCCACTAAACAACGGCGATGCTCAATTTTCTGAACGTTCGTGAAATTTTCGCGTGCAGTTAATTTGGGGACACTCATAAAGCTTCTGTTACTTCGAAGGTAGAACCCATCCATACATGCAATTATTAACATCGAGAACTCTTCCAAACTAACTACAGAGCTCCAATACAAAAATTGAGGAACTACGATAATCCAATAGGCACTAAATTAACTTTGTCTAGAACTTCTCATATGTCATATTTCAACTCGCGGCAGAGAGAATAATAGAGAAGCCAACCTGATCGGGAGGATGCCGTTCAAGTTCATATCGGATTTCGTTACGGAGAAGTCTGAGAATGCTGCCTTCGAAAGCAGATCTACGCATCTCGGATATGTAATGGCGCAGTGTCTTGAAGAGAACGCGGGGGTTTTCAGGAGGAAATGGAATGGGATTTAGTCGGTGCGCCTGCGACATGAGAGCCTTGTGAGAAGAAGAAGAAGAAGAAGAAAACTGAAGGCATTTTCTCAATGGTCGAATCACTCGCGCCATTGATGTGATGAATTCGAATCGAGGGGAAGACGAAGAGGAGATTGATCTTCCTTGGGGTTTAGGGTTTAAGCACACCCACAGTCCGCTACTAAATTAAGAAATAATAATAGATAAATAAATAAAATATAAATTTACAAACTTAATTGTCTGTTTGGTATCACAATTCCACACATATACTATTTATTTATTTTTAAAAAAATCATTTAAATTAGAAAATATTCTTTAATTATAAATTCAAATGAGTCATCGTCGAATGAAGATAATCTTCACAAAAATGATAAATTATTTATATATATATATATTATATATAAATAAATAATTTTCCACCTCATCGACTGGACAGGCCAACAATTTTTTTTTTTTTTTTTTTTTTATAACGAAAATCCAACTCACTCACTCGTATTACAAATTATTGGTCTTATCCAAATATTTTTAACATATTAAATTATTAGATATTAAATATATATATAAAAAAAAAGTGTACATGTCACGCCACTTTTATTATTCACATTGACATTATTAAATGAAATTTTAAATGCAAATAACAAAATAAATAAAAAGGTATATAAAAATAAATAAAAATGTATCTTTTAAAATTTTAAATCATTATAGACCATTAAAAGAAAGTAAATTTGTTTTTAAGTTAAAAGGATTAAATAAATATTGAATTTTTTCACGACAATAACTTATAAAATTAAGCTGTTGTTACACATTAAATTGTTAAAATTCTGTAATTAATTAGTGTTTATTACAAATTAAAATTCTCGAGCTAAAATAAATTATTATTTAAAAATAAGTAAAACTGAAAAGCCTTCAGTGGCATCACTGTAATTTAGATTCCAAATCAAGGTCGATGAATACCCTTACAAAACTAGAATCAACCACGGTCCAGATCATATCTAAGGTACTCAACAATGAGTCGCCGCCGGTGATGCCCGTTAGAATTATAACTAAGGAATTAAGAGTTACCATTCTTCTCCATAGATTTTGAAGTTCAAAAATTTCCTCCATAACATCAGGATACAACTCTGTGTTTTTCCTTCTCCAGTTTTTGAGAGTTTTTTTTGTTCTTTGCCATGAATTGAAGTCTGAAGAATGTTGTTGTTTAAGAAACCAGTCGGGAAACAAACCGGAGGATCCGTGCCGGTGTACCTCAATGTGTACGATCTGACCGCGATCAATGGCTACGCTTACTGGTTTGGCCTTGGTGTTTTCCATTCAGGAGTTCAAGGTCAGTAATGGCTGTAATGGCTTCCGTTTGATCTTCGTTTTCGAAGGCGTTTCGTGAGTTTTTCTTTTTCTGTTTTCTCTTAGCTGAAGCTCTTATGATGCTTTGCCGTTTCTTGTGATCTTGCTAATTCGTTGGTGCGGTGCGATGCGATGCGATATACTCCGTTTTCCATGTTTTGTGCTCTGAGGGAGAATGAATCGGAGAGTGTGGAAGATTAGATAATTTTATTGAAACGTGTGCTGTGTGACTCGAGAGATGCATCAGTATAGAAAAATTGTTCTGATTATTCTTACACTTCTTCTTCTTTTTCTTTCTTAATTTTTTTTTATAACGACATCGGCTCATTTATGGTATTTCTGTTCTCGATTATGCATTTTCTGTCAATTAGGCTACTAACTACATCGAACTTCGAACATTTTCCCATTCGGCAGACGAGTAAATTTTCCGACAAGTGGAAACCTCGTTTCTGATTTCTCTTTTATTTCCAGCTTTCCGTTTGAACCAGGTCGTTTTCTTTATTGTATACGATTTCGGTGCCGGTGAAGTTCATACGCTCAATCTGGCAGATCTTTCGGCTGTATTTGCTGAACTCGATTTGATGTTTTTGTATTGCAGTTCATGGTGTGGAATACGCATTTGGAGCTCACGAGTACTCAACAACAGGAATTTTTGAAGGGGTGCCGAAGCAATGCCATGGATTTAGATTTAGAAAGTCAGTTTTGATAGGCAAAACAGATATGAAACCAGCAGAGGTGAGAGCTTTAATGGAGGAACTTGCTCAAATCTACAAAGGAAATGCTTACAATTTAATCACCAAAAATTGCAACCATTTTTGCAACGACGCTTGTGTTAAACTCACAGAAAATTCCATCCCAAATTGGGTTAATCGCCTTGCTAGAATTGGTAAGAAAACACCTCTTTCTTTTTATCCACCTGTGGCTTGCTAGAACTAGAATTTGATTGGAAGTTCATTTAATGGGCTAGCATAATTTTTCTGATGAATACGAACACAATCAGATTAGCATTTGTGAATCTGGAGTTCTTTGGTAGCAAGATGATCTTGTTTGTTCTGGTTAAGTTTCTTGTGAGCTTGCTTGATTCTGTGCTACACCATTTTGGATCAATGTGTGCTGTTTTTTCTTTTCTTTTTCAGGCTTTCTTTGCAATTGTGTTCTACCAGTGACCTTCAATTCCACCAGAATCAGGCACCACCACAGAATTGAACACAAGGTTGTAACCATGGAAACAAAGAAGGATTTAACAAGTCAATCCATCAAAACTCCCAATTCTAATCCCTCTTCTTCTGCAACTTCTTCTCCTTCCTCGACGTTTCGTCGAGGAAGAAGCCGAACAAGACGAGCTCCTCCTCCATCTTCTCCATTGTTTTCTCATTCTTCATCTTCCTGATATATGGACATCACAGCTCCTAGCTATCTTTTCCTTTATGTCTTCTTCCTTGTGATCTTGGAATATCACTCTCAATCAAAAGCATTCACTTATATGCTTTGGATTCCCTTGAAATGTTCTTTTTTTCCCTCTTGTTCTTTTTCCCCTTCTTTCTCTTTCTTTTTGCATTCATCATCTTTGAATACTCCAAAGGAACAATTGCAAGTTGTAAAAGTTGATATTATTGTGAACTTCAAATCCCAATTCATATTTTCATAATCTGAACAAACTGTAGATTTTTTGTTACTTGAAATATAAGTAATCACAATCTTCATGTCTAAGTGATTAGAAAATCATGGAACACACTAACCTAAGATGATTGAGAGTTGGAATTTTCTTTTTCTATTATTTATTGTTTTTTTTTTTAATGATTTTTATAATTATATCAATCTTAAATATATATATATATATATATAGTGACAATTATTACTTACCTTCTGAACAAAATAATTGAGACTTTTTGCTTTTGAGAAAATCCAGTGTTTGTTAAGACGTCACTTTTCTTAAAATAATTTTTGAATGCCAGAAAAAAAAAAATTAACAGAAAAATAGAAAAAGAGTTTGGATAAAATTTTGGGTCTGATCCCTAAAAAACTTTATCTACTTTTTATTATTAAAAAAATAATTTGATCCATAAATCATAAAAAGTTTTATTATGGATCTTAAACTTTTATTTTATACTTATTTATTTATTTCTTTTCATTTAAAATCTTAATTTCAATCCTCCAACTCCTCTTAAATAATTCATATTAAAAAAATGAACATCCTATTATAATAAACTAAAGACTCCCACGTGAATTCAATTAATAAAAATAATAAATTAAGTATTTTTATTTACAAGGATAAAAATAGTAAAATTCTAAATTTACAAGAATTACAGCTCTATTTAAATTTAAAGCTAAATATTTGCTTTAGTCCATAATATTTAAATATTTTGCTCCATAAAAAGTATCAAATTATTTTTACTTATAAAAAAATGTATTTATTATCTTTTACTATTATTATTTTTTTTTTAAATTGTATTTGAATTCGTAGACAAATTAATAATAAACTTATATATAAAAATAATATTTATATGCTTAATTTTAATAGACTCTTGAACCTTTTTTTTTATTGTATTGAAATATCTAAATGTTAACAAACATTGGTATATTATTAAATTATTAATATAGGTTGAGGTACAAAATGAATTTAATTTTGTTAACGAATATAATTAGGTAAATGATTAGTTTAAGGTGTTTTTCGTAATTTTCTTTAAAAAAAACGTGGATCCAATATTGGGCCCATGTGGTTCATATGGGCCGCGCCTAAGCCCACAATCAATGGCCTTGTTCCGCAGACACTTTTCATAGCGGCTTAAGTTTTTTTGTTTCGTGCTCTACGGACTTCTGCCGATGATCACCCCGCCACAGTTCTCTTCACTCCCTTTCGCGATTGGCACTGATGCCTTCTCCCTCTTTATCTGCTACTCATTCTGTCTCGGTTGTTCTTTAATCCATACGAAATGGAAAGAGTTGGTAAATTCATGTTTCTGATTCTTGCTATCGTTGTTTCTGCTCATGGTTTTTTGAGAAGTTTATGTTCAAATGTTTTTTTTTTTCCCGTTGTTTTGGTTGAGACGTAACTGATGTATGCACTGTTGTTCCATCATTTCGAAAGATTTTTGTTTTATTTTTTCCTTACTATAGTTCTGCGTTGAGTTCTATTATTGGGAACGTTTTTTTTTTGTTGACAGGAATAATATCTTACTCTCGTACTCTACGAAAGTTTGATTTCAATTGGAATGGGGCGTAGCTTTCGGCTTGTTTGGCATGGCTGATGATCGTTACTATACTATATCTGCTAATTTAGATCGTGAGTTCTTTTCTGATGATATTATGTGAATGCCTTCGATGCTATTCCCTTATCAATGAGAATGAAATTACCATGAGTATACATTTAAGAACATTTTGATTGAACATATCTCATTTAGCGTTGAGGATGGTTGGGAGTGAGTCCCACATTGGCTAATTTAGAAAATGATCATGAGTTTATAAATAAAGGAATACATCTTCATTGGTACGAGGCCTTTTGGGGAAGCTCAAAGCAAAGCCATGAGAGCTTATGCTCGAAGTGGACAATATCGTACCATTGTGGAGATCCGTGATTCCTAACATGGTATCAGAGTCATGCCCTTAAATTAGTCATGTCAATAGAATCCTCAAATGTCAAACAAAGAAGTTGTGAGTCTCGAGAGTGTAGTCAAAAGTGACTAAGTGTCGAACAAAGGGTGTACTTTGTTCGAGGGCTCCAGAGAAAGGAGTCGAGATTCGATTAAGGGGAGGCTGTTCGAGAGCTCCACAAGCCTTAAACACTTAGTGTACTTTGTTCGAGGGGAGGATCGTTGAGGATTGTTGGGAGTGAGTCTCACATTGACTAATTTAGGGAATGATCATGGGTTTATAAATAAAGGAATACATCTTCATTGGCATGAGGCCTTTTGGGGAAGCTTAAAGCAAAGCCATGAGAGCATATGCTCAAAGTGGACAATATTGTATTATTGTGGAGATCCATGATTCCTAACAATTAATTAATAAGTATATCAATTATCATGGACAATGAACTGATGAAACATCTTTACAATAACATAATATCGATCACTTTGAGTATAATTTTTCTGATTTTATATTTAGAATCACCCAAAAAAAAAAAAAAAAAAAACCTGATACCAATGGAGATATTATATATCATTTATATATCTATGATATTCTCCATATCTAGCTAACGTGGGATTTTGGTTACACTCTCAACAGTTCTCTCCTCGATCAAAATATTGACCCAAAGAGTCATCTTTATCCATCTAGCTTTTATCCAGGTTAACTCTTTGTTGGAATGAACAAGCCTTATCGTTCACTTTGAGTATGAGCTTTCACTTGTTTCCGTGTTCCATGATAGGGAAGAGATCACATATTAGTGATCTGCTATAAATTTGAAGTTACAGTTCTGATATTATGAATCATTCAAGCAATATGTGAATGGATACTGATCTTTATTAACTTCCCCGCACTATCCCTCACATCCATCCATGCTTGTTGATCTAATTATTATTCTTATCAATTGCAAATAAGATAAGAACTTCCTTTAGAATAGCAGACTAGATGTGTGGCCACCTTTCCAGCTCATTGAGTTTTGTTGTTATTGATGCATTATTATTGTGCCTAACCTTGACATAATTTCCTGTTGTTCTATTCTCTGTTTGCTTTTCAACATTCTTCTCCTTTGATTATTTCAATTTTTCATTCTGTTTGCTTCAAGTAATTGGATGGTAGAACTAATTGCTATGCCAGCCTGATGTACAGTGTCCTAAGTAGCCATCCAACACCTCGTTGAGGAGACAAGATCAGAAAATGTGCTACCAGGAATCGTAGACTTGCATTATGTACTACTGAACTTAAGCTTCCTTTCTTTCTTTTTTTTTTTTTTTTTTTTTTTT